GGGTGTAAGGTCATTTCAACCGACTGAAACCTCTCCGGTCCTGCCTTTAAGAATTAAGATCAGTTTATAACACATAGGCATAGCCTTTATTTAACCAATCGCTGAATTCGAGATGTTTATCTATGCAAATTTTATAACTGAATGTAAGCTCGTTTACGTCTTTAGATGCGGGTAAACTAAAAGAACGTAAACATATTTATACATATTTATACTGGTTAAAATGAACAGCCGTATTGGCTTTTTTAGTAAAATTCTTGAATTTTTCTCACGGATAATTGGAGTAAAAATTGGCAAGAGCCTTATGGATACTAATTCGGGTAAAAATTGGCTGCTCATTAATATCGACGACGATCCACTTTAATCCACCAAAAATGCGTGCCGAAACCTATAGAGCGTTTGCGCATGACGTCACAGCCGCCATGTTGGTGCTCCAATTCAAAAGAATATTAATTAAATTATTCTGTCTGCAACACCAGTGTCACAAACATGGCTGCCATGGCTTTTGTTGAGTTGGTCCCTAGGGAAAGAGTGCAAACGCTCAATACTCGCCTAGGCACAGTGCTCCAGCGAGTACTCAGTAAATTTTAGCAATTAAATAACATCGCTCAACAGGTGACACTAAGCCTTAAAACAACTACAAGAAAAGATTTCGAAAAAATCGGTGACTTAAAATACCATTTATTTTCAATATAAATTAATTTGTATTGTATATTTACTTAAAATTGCATTAATTAAACTAATATTATAAAATTAAAATGCGAAAATGTTAAGAGAATAATTTATGAATTTAATTTTATGACAAATTAGCGACAAGTTTTATGTTGAGTATGTTTCTAACAAGGTATTCAGTTGTTTGTACGAAAGCATTGCGCAAGCCTTGTTTATTTTATAGTAGATATGGCTAAAGTAAACGGATTTTTTTACTCAAAACTCGTACTTTAAACATCCACACTTTTTTGAGAATTGTTTTATAAGGGGGTGTAGAGCCAGAGAGGCGTCTGTTAAAAAATTATGGTTTGACAGGGTATCTATTAGATACAGGGCATTATTGGAAATTGAGCATTTATCAGATCATTTACGGAATATCATGGCCTGGATGATTATCAACTTCATACCTACGAAGTTTATTCAATGACGACCAAATATTTGAATTACATACACATACTACAATAGTCATCAATTCTAACTTTCTAGGGTTGACAGCGGACAAAGTAACAAATTACCATAAAATGGTAAATAGATTCAATTGCAGTTCCTGCCGGATTTTTTCCATATCCTGTTCCGCCCAGAACTTAAAATATAATAATAACGAATTTATTAAGGCATATCTACATGGTAGCTCTACATCCTTAATTCATAGAAATTTTATATAAAATATACAAATGTATATACAAAATAAGTTATAAATGTATAATATAGATGTTGGTATAAAAATACGAATATAAAATTATTTTTTCTGTGTTGGTGTAATGTACTCAGGTGAATATGATGCTTGTGATGTTACTCTGAGTGTATATCCACACCGGGCAGGCTTGAAAAATATGCCGGGCCACGGTGGGAATCGAACCCACGACCTTTGGAATACTAGCCCAATGCTCTGCCAACTGAGCTACGCGGTCAGGTCGGTTCGAGTATGTGATATTTCGGAACCGAATCTAGTACCTTCGATATCAATGTAATCTAATAATCATGATTTTTTCTGTGTTGGTGTAATGTACTCAGGTGAATATGATGCTTGTGATGTTACTCTGAGTGTATATCCACATACTCGAACCGACCTGACCGCGTAGCTCAGTTGGCAGAGCATTGGGCTAGTATTCCAAAGGTCGTAGGTTCGATTCCCACCGTGGCCCGGCATATTTTTCAAGCCTGCCCGGTGTGGATATACACTCAGAGTA